GTTAAATAAAAATAAACCTTTTAATACTGGAAACAAAGACAATTGCATCTAAATGTAGAACAATGACAGACCTTNAAAAAAAAAAAAAAAAAAAAAAAAAAAAAAAAAAAAAAAAAAAAAAAAGCTATTGATATAGTTGACATGCACAAATCTCAAATGTGTTAAGTAAAAGAAGCAAGACTCAGACTCTATACACTGTATGATTTCATTTATATGACATTCTGGAAAAGACAACAATAAGAAGAGTGAACAAAATCAGTGCTTACCAGCAGGTAGGTAAGAAGAATTAACTAGAAAAGGGACATCATGAGGAAATTTGGGAGAATGATGTCTTAATTTGGTTGTGGTGGTAATTACACAAGTCTGTACATTTGCCAAAATTCATAGAATTATGGCTGGTACAAACCACAGTGCTTCCATTATTCATGTAAGAAAAAAAAAAAAGAATTACGGCTGGGCACAATGGCTCACACTTGTAATCCCAGCACTTTGGGAGGCGGAGGCAGGTGGATCACATGAGGCCAGGAGTTCAAGACCAGCCTGACCAACATGACAAAACCCCATCTGTACTAACAATACAAAAATTAACTAGGTGTGGTGGTGTGCACCTAAAGTCCCAGATACTTGTGAGGCTGAGGCTGGAATCCAGGAGGCGGAGGTTACAGAGACCCAAGATCCAGCCACTGCACTCCAGCCTGGGTGACAGCAAGACTCCATCTCCAAACAACAACAAAGATTCATAGAATTATAACCAGAAGGAGTGAATTTTACTGTATGTAAGCTGAGAATTTAATAATTAATATATTTTTTCTTTTGTTTTTTTTTTGGGTATGCCTTTATCAGCAATAATTAATATTTTAAAGTGTTAAGAAAAATGGCTAGCTCACTCCAGCAAAATAAGCCCCAGGAAGATAAAGGTTTAAATATATAAAAGTTAAATATAAAAGCACTTTTATATTTTTAGGAAAGAGAATTTTTTTTTTTTTTTTTTTCTGAGAAGGAGTTTCGCTCTTGTTGCCCAGGCCGAAGAGCAATGTCACAATTCTCCTGCCTCAGCCTCCTGAGTAACTGGGATAATAGGCATGCACCACCATACCCAGTTAATTTTGTAATTTTAGTAGAGATGGGGTTTCTCCATGTTGGTTAGGCTGGATCTCAAACTCCCAACCTCAGGTGACCCGCCCGTAATCCCAAAGTGCTGGGATTACAGGCATGAGCTACCAGGCCCGGCTGGGATTTTTTTTACATAGGCAGGACCTACAATCTGGAAACTATAAAGAAACAGAATAACAAATCTGATTACATTTAAAAAACAACTTTTCTTTGAAAAAAAGGTAAAAAGCTGACAGACAACCTGGGGAAATCACCTGTAATACATTTGCAAAAGCACCTGTTCCATTGAGCCTAGACCCCACCTTCCTCCAATACACATTCAGTGGAGATTTTTCCGAACACAGGAGAGAGGTTCAAATGTCAAATGTCTAGTTTTCATTTCTGAAAAGAAAACTGAAGAATGTCTGTAGAAATCATTTATGGAAAAATCATAAAATAATGCTATACATGTATAAGCTAATCTATATATGTGTGCAAACACATTGAAAAATGTTAAGAAGTATATTTACCAAACCTATGACCATGGAGAGGAAATCAGGGAAGAGGATGGTGGTTACGAAGAACTCTGGTTTGCCTATTAGTTTGAATTTCTCAACAAGAATATATTCATATAACACTTGTTACATTTAAATTTAATTTGAGAGCATGTAAATCGTCCATAAAAATCATCTCCCCAGCTGGGCACGGTGGCTCACACCTATAATCCCAGCACTTTAGGAGGCCAAGACGAGCAGATCACCTGAGGTCAGGAGTTTGAGACCAGCCTGACCAACATGGAGAAACTCCATCCCTACTAAAAATACAAAATTAGCTGGGCGTGGTGGTGCATGCCTGTAATCCCACCTACTCAGGAGGCTGAGGCAGGAGAACTGGTTGAATCCAGGAGGTGGAGGTTGCAGTGAGCTGAGATCACGCCATTGCACTCCAACCTGGGCAACAAGAACGAAACTCCGTCAAAAAAAAAAAAAAAAAAAAAAATCCCCCAAATTTCTAAATGTTTAAAACCTAAGCAACATAACTATTTTAAAGCAAGTGATTTGGTTTAGACAAACATAGTTAGGAAACAGTTTACTTGTAGTTCCTATAGTATTTGATAGGACAAAGGAAACCCCTGAATAATTGAGATATTCAATGCATTAATGTCCATTCTGTGCAACTCATAATCTGTATTGTCTTCAATTGCTGTATCTTTGTTTCTAAAAACATACTGTCAGGCACTCTGAATTCTGTTATAGATGGTGGCTTATTCATATTTTTACTGCAAGTTTCATCTAGCATATAGTAAGCACACAGTGAAAACTAAATCAAATTAAGCAACTCTGTTTTCTAAGATCCTGCAAAACACATAAACTTCATTTGTCTGTTTCCAAAGCATACAGTGTAAAGCTTAGATCACTTATTGAGCCCTTGCTGACTGCCAAGCACTTTTCTAAGTCCTGTACTCTACACTTTTTAGGGCATCTAATCATCCTCACAACAATTCATTGAGGAATTGTTATATGATCCTCATTTTACACTAGGAAACCAAAGCACAGAAAGGTTCTGTAATTTACCTAAAGACACTGAGAGCTGGAATTTAATCTGAGGCATGTGGTCAGAGTCCAGTTTTAACCATGACAACGTAATGCCTCCCAATCACTGAATGAAGGAATATGTGTACAGTCCTTGGTCTACAATGCATCTCTGAATTATAACATCATTCCCAGGGAAACAATCAAGCCCTATTCTAAGATTCTACATTGGATATTAGCAATTTGGGTACTGCTGTACGATAAATTACATAGATAGATAGATAAGTAGGTAGATAGAATACAGTATTTGTACCCCTTCAAAAGAATTCAGAGCTGACTTTTTGGCTTAATTATATGTATCAACCAATGAGTGTAACGCTAGATTTACTGCTTTTTGTGAAGCTGTAAGATTTGTTTATGAGTGTTCCATCCACTATAATGTTTACCATCAATCTTGGGAGAAAATAAAGAAATGTTTGAGCCATGGTAACTTCCAGGAATGTATCCTTCAATTTCTCAGCATGTATTCATGGTATATGGATGTAAGTGTTTCCATACCAGAGAGGGGTAGAGTCCAGGAGCCTGAATATGGAGGTTGTCATCTCACCTCTACTGGGTGACTTTGAACAAATTATGAAAAATTATGACTTTAAAGAATTATAACAAACCTTATCTGGGCCTCCATCTGGAGAGAAATGATTAGATGAGCATCCAGGTTTGTTTTATTTTTTTAGTAGTGGGCCTTGAGCACAATGTGATGAATTACCCAGTGATTGCTGAAGGGCATCAAAAGGGTCCAGCTCATTGTGGGCTATGGGTTTTAAGCAGTCCAGAGCCTGAAATTTTTGTGCCTAAGACACTTTGCCAGTGGCTTTCACACCCTCCCACCTCATGATTGTGATTATAATAACTAAAATTAACCTGACAGTGTTTAGAAAAAAGATATAAAATTAGTACTCTGCAATTATCAGTCTTGATCTGTGAGGTCATCCTTTCCATACTCCCACCCTTATCTTGCAGCTAAGTTCTGAGTCGGCCATTTCTGGTACTAGATTTGGTTACAGAGAACTCAGATCAGGTTTTGAAACGGCCAGAAAAACGTGCAAGGTCTAATGAATTCAATTTGGAAATGGCAAGGATTGGTTTTGCAAAGAAAAGTGATTGAGGACATGACCAGGTGAAGAGAAGGGCTAAGCAGCCAAGTTCACATCGTTTTCTGGGAGGAAGTAGAGAATGGGGAAGATATTTTGGTTGGGGTGTTGCACTCTATGAAGACTGATGCGGAAAGTAGAATTTTTAGGATGTTTGTAGCACATTAATAATCCACCCCTCCACCCACCCTATAACTGCAATCAATTGTTTGGGGTTTTCTTTTTTTTTTTTCCTGTATGCTCATTACAGAGACTGGGCTATATAAACCTCTAGTCATACTCACATTACACTACCATTTACTTGGCATTTCTGGGTCAGGTATTGTAGTAAGCACTTAAACATGCATTTTCTCATTTGACCCGCAAAAGAAAAGACTACATCAACAAAAAACCTTTGCGTTTTCTGACATTATTACTATTATTACAACTTCAATTTTAGGGATAGAAAATTGAATTCAGAAAGGTAAAATGACACGTCTACATTAACTGGTGGGTCAACATCTGAAGCTAGGCCTCTGTGACTCCACTGAACAAATGATTTGGCACGAGCCTCCTCCAGGTGACCCCGACCCTCCTGGGACCCACTCCCCCAGGTGACCTCACTCTCCCTGGGACCCTCCCCGCAGGTGACCCCGACCCTTCTGGGACCCTCGCCTCAGGTGACCTCACCCTCACCAGGACCCTCCCCTCAGATGACCCCGACCCTCCCCAGAACCCTTGCCTCAGGTGACCCCACCATCCCCAGACCCTCCCCTCAGGTGGCCCCGACCCTTCCGGGACCCTCCCCCCAGGTGACCTCACCCTCCCCGGGACCCTCCCTTCAGGTGACCCTGACCCTCCCAGAACCTCCCCCCAGGTGACCCTGAACCTTCTGGGACCCTCCTCCCAGGTGACCTCACCCTCCCCAGGACCCTCCCCTCAGGTGACCACGACCCTCCCCAGAACCCTCGCCTCAGGTGACCCCGACCCTCCCAGACCCTCCCCTCAGGTGACCCCGACCCTCCCAGAACCTCCCCCGAGGTGACCCCCGACTCTTCTGGGACCCTCCTCCCAGGTGACCTCACCCTCCCCCAAGGTCGTGACCCTGACCCTCTCTACAACCCTCGCCTCCGGTGACCCCAACCCTCCCTAGACCTTCCCTCCAGGTGACCCTGACAAGGTTCGATCCCCTCCAGCCTGAGGAGACTACTACCCGGCTGAGGACCCGCGAGGCCTCCCTCGCTCCTTAACTGAGGGCGACTCCGCTCATCCCGTGACACCCTGCCTTCTCCTGCAAACTCGACGCTGGTCCCAACGGCTGAATTCCAGAAGGTTCCTCGCTACCTTCTCGCCTTCTGTCGAGCCCCAGCGCCTGGCCAGAGGCGAAGAAGCGCTTCCCTCGGTGCCACGAATGACGAGAGCCCAAGGTAAGACAGTGCGTAAGGGGAAATGGAAAAACCGCCAAAGTCGAATTTCCGGGTGTGAAGCCCTTCACCGCTCGGAAACGCACGTGCGCCGTCATTCCTGAGAGGCCGCCGCCCCCGCCCGCTCGGCTACCGCCGCTACGCGCCCCCTGCCGGACATAGGCGCTGGCGCAGGCAGTGCGCAGGCGCGGGCTGCCAAGTGGCCAGGTGCGAGCCGCGTACCCGCAAGGTGGCCGACTACGCACGCGCAAGCCAGCGCGCCCTCTGCCGGGCACGGACGACATGCACAAGGCACTGCGCAGGCGCGGGGTTGGGCTGGCCGGAGCGGCCGAGGCGGCCGGGGGTGGACCGGGCACCTGCAGGGGCGACCGACTGCGCAAGCGCGAGCCGCCGCGCCCCCTGCAGGAGCCGTCGCGGCCAGTGCGTCCGTCAGTCGTGGGTAGCAGGCACCCCCTCCCCTCCAGGGCGGCCACGCAGCTGTCAGTGCCGCCGCCCCTGCTAGGCTGGAGCGGAGCCCGGGTGGCCAAGGGAGGGGACCCCGCGAGAAGGCAGCGCACCGGCCGCCCCCGCCCCGGCGCCCAGGCTCGGTGAGTGCCGCCGGGACCCGCCGCTCGCGCGCTCTTTCCCGGGGCTTGCGGTCCCCACATGGGTCCGCTCTCCCACCATCGCCGGCCGGCTCTTGCCGCTCCCAGCTCCCGCCTGGCCTGCGGACCCGTCCCGCGACCCTGCAATCCCGCCGGCCGCGCCCGCCCCTCCCGACGCGGCCTCGGCCCGCGGCGCTCCCTGCCCGTGCCGCTCCCGCAGCGCCGGCTCCCTCTGAAGTCCTGGGCGTGTCCCGCACTGCGGGCAGTGCCTGAGCCGGCGCCGCGCGGGGAAGCTCAGCCCCGCCCGGACTCGGCACGGGCCGGGCCCTCTGCGCGCCCGGGAGGTGGATGTGTAGCGCCGGACAGCCCCGGGCCTGAGGGACGCAGGCGTCCACCGCGCACCTGCGGAGATGGCGCCGCTTCTCAGCCGCGGGGACGCCTGGCGCGCGGTGGCAAAGACCCCCGGGGGGGGGGTTTTCGCCTGCTCCCACCTCCTTGTTCCCAGGAGTCACCGAATCCGAATCCAGGGCCCACTGTCCGCGGCGGGTGTTTGCTGCGCTCTCCCCTGTGTGGGGGCGGGAAAGGGGAGCCGCTGGTGCCCACAGAGGGGCCTGCGGCAGCAGCCGGGGCCGCATTCTCGGCGCCCACCGTCAGGACGCGTGTGTGCATCGTGTCCCATGTGTCTTGGTTCTGTCCCAAGCCGGCTCCAAGCTCCAGTAGGACCGGGACAGCCTCGCTGTCAAGGGCGTGGGGCAGGCCCTTGGTGTCTGTGGTGTCTGTCTGTCGCGCGGATGAAGCCATCTCCTTAGGGGGTAATTGCTACTTGTTCGCCGGGTTGCTTTCTGGACTGTGCACTCCGGGAAGGCATGGATTGGATCTTGTTGGGGTTTGTGTTCCTGGCACTCCAGAAATCCCCGCTGAGTGAGTACCTCAGAGCCGGAGACAGCATGGAGCCCAGGCAGGGTGCACGTGGGAGAGGCGCGCTCTTCTTCCGGGCACCGCTGTCATTTTTATTCAGGTAGTCTAGGTGCTCCCTTTTGTAAACTTGAGAAGACTAAGGCTGTTTTAGAAAGTTTGCCTCATGGGAAATGTAAGAGAAAGGGAAAAGAGATAAAAATGGATGTCATGGGAATCTCCCCGCACTTTTATTTTTAACTTCTTAGAGAATTGTTCTTTTAAATTGAACCTTTGCTAATTCTATCTGATAAACAGGACAACGTCTTTTCCTTCCTAAGGTGACCTACCACCATTCTGACCAGACAGCCTTTTGGAACAGGAGAGGGTAGTGCAAGTTGTTTCTAAAAAGATGTTAGCCTTTCATCTGCATGAGCCAGGCAGTCTCATGGGAACCCATTTTGACTTAGTTTCAACTGGGAGGGCCTAGGTAAGATTCCTAGTTTACCATTTATTCCCCAGCCCTGCTTCCGGAGACTGTGAGGTCTTGTTGAGGAAAAGCATTCTGGAACTCTGGAAATGGCCCTGATGGGGAAGGCCCTGTGCACAGTTGAAAGATTAATTGGAAGCCAGGTGCGGTGGCTCACGCTGTAATCCCAGCACTTTGGAAGGCGGAGGCTGGCAGATCATTTGAGGTCAGGAGTTGGAGACCAGCCTAGCCAACGTGGGAAAACCCTGTCTCTATCAAAAAAATATAAAAAATTAGGGCGGGTAAGGTGGCTCACGCCTGTAATCCCAGCACTTTGGGAGGCCGAGGCGGGTGGATCACTCGAGGTTAGGAGTTCAAGACCAGTCTGGCCAACATGGTGAAACCGTCTCTATTAAAAATACAAAAAAATTTAGCCGGACATGGTGGCCTGCGCCTGTAGTGCCAGCTGTTTGCGAGGCTGAGGCAGGAGAATCGCTTGAACCTGGGAGGCAGAGGTTGCAGTGAGCCTAGATTGTGCCACTGCATTCCAGACTGGGCGACAGAGTGAGACTCTGTCTCAAAAAAGATAAAAAATTAGCCGGGCATGGTGGCACACGCCTGTAATCCCAACTACTCAGGAGGCTGAGGCAGGAGAATCACTTGAACCCAGGAGGAGGAGGTTATTGTGAGCTGAGATGGCACCGCTGCCCTGTAGCCTGGGCGACAGAGCAAGACTCCATCTCAAAAAAAAGGATGAATTGAACACGGTCCCTGCTCTTGGGGGATATTAGAGGTAGAGCTAAAGAGTTGCTTTTTTCACAAGCAACTGTAATAAAACAAGATGAGTACCATATGGACACGTCCAGAAGAGGTGCAACAGGTGACCAGAGGTGGAGGAGGGGTGGCTTCAACAAGAGCAGAAGGTGTTCACCCAGGCTTCCTGTTACAATCACCGAAGCCAGCCTGGGCCCAGAACAGCCCAGAATCTCCAGGGATGGGCCCCAGACGTCAGTTTCTGTCTTAAAGTGCCCCAGAAAATTCCACTGTGCAGATAGACCAGGCAAAGAGCCCCTGAAACAGGCTTCACAGAGGGCATGGCACTAGAAGTGGGCTGGGAAGTGATGGGGAGGTTTCGGCAGGTAGCGAAAGGGATGTCGGGTGATAATCTCGGCAGACAAAACACTGCAGGCCCACATCTTGTGGGGAAGAGTGAAGCATGTCAGACCCTGTCCTGGAAGAGTTTTGCAGACCCCATTCCCCTGAATGACTCATAGTGTTTGTGGTGGTGGAGAGGTTTGGAGTTAACAGGCAGACAGGTGCCTTTGCGGGAGCTGTGTAATGAGGTCCTTGCTACCTTGCCTGTTACACAACATTCATGGTTACCTCTCTCTGGGGGACTTTTCATTGCCTCATTACCTCGTTTCCTGCACCTAGGGAGCCAGAACAGCTAGCTGGTCAGAGAATAGGGCTGAAGCCACTGCAAGGGTTAGGAAAGCAGGCAGCAGCACAGATTTTGTGGAAGTCTCTCCTGATAGCTCCCTTTGGAACCACATCTCTGGCTTAAAAATACACCCTACGAGCCTCTGCCAGAGCTTCAGTGTAAACGCAGAGCCTGTGATCCCAGGGAGGCAGCCGCCTCCAACTCCAGGCAGAGCCTATGGTGCTGAGCATGAGTGCCGGCAAGCTAGGTCTCCACTGGGACCTGTGATGCCAGCGCCACAGCCTCAAACCCAGCCTTCCCAGCTCTCAGCCAATGGCTGTGGCTTGTGCATTTGTTCCTACCTCCTCCCCACGAGGGCCACTGAGTTTACAGGTTGGCTTGGCCAGTACAGTGATTCACATCTGTAATCTCAACACTTTGGGGGGCCAAGGCAGGAGAATCGCTTGAGGATACAAGTTCAAGACCAGCCTGGGCAACGTGGCAAGACCCCATCTCTACAAAAGATTAAGACATTAGCCAGGCATGGTGGTGTACACCCGTAGTCCCAGCTATTTGGGAGACTGAGGTGGGAGGATCACTTGAACCAGGAGATGGAGGCTATGAGGCTATAGTGAGCCATGATTACACCACTCTACTTCAGCCTAGGAAACAGAGTGAGACCCTGCCTCAAAAAAAAAAAAAAAAAAAAAAAACCCTCAGACATTTTTCATGTGCTAAAGAATGAATGTGAACGTGTATATATATTATGTATTATAAATTACAATTTCTGTCCTGATATATTATGGACATGGAAATATACACAAATATAGATGTTTTAAGGGGACAAAGGCCAAGTGTGGTGGCTGACACCTGCAATCCCAGCACTTTGGGAGGCTGAGATGGGAAGATTCCTTAAGGCCAAGAGTTTGAGACCAGTCTGTAAAACATAGTGAGACCCTGTCTCTACTAAAAATCCAAAAAAATTAGCCAGATATGGTAGCACACACCTGAAGTCCCAGCTACTCTGGAGGCTGAGGAGGGAGGATCATTTGAGCTTGGGAATTCAAGAGTGCAGTGAGCTATGATCATGCCACTGCACTCCAGCCTGGGAAACAGAGCAAGATCTTGTCTCTACAAGAGAGAGAGGGGATTAAAAAAAAAAAAAGGATGAGAGGTGAAATAAACATGATTAAATTTTTCCAGTATATGAATGCTACAAAAACTATTGTGTAAACATGCTTTTTAAAGATGAAAGACATGTGTCCACATCCCATTTATAAATTCTTGTTGAATCCTAAGTCCAAGCATTTAAGATTGATGCTGAATTCTGTTTATTGGTCAGGCGAGGTGCCTCACACCTGTAATCTTAGCTCTTTGGGAGGCCGAGGCAGGTGGATCACTTGAGGTCAGGAGTTTGAGACCAGCCTGGCCAATATGGTAAAACCCCATCTCTACTACAAATAAAAAATGAAAAAGGAGCTGGGCGTGGTAGTGAGTGCCTGTAATTCCAGCTTCTTGGGAGGCTGAGGCAGGAGAATCACTTGAACCCAGGAGGCAGATGTTGCAGTGAGCCAAGATTGTACCATTGCACTCCAGCCTGGGCAACAAGAGCAAAACTCTGTGTCCAAAAAAAAAAAAAAAGTTCTGTTTATTTCACTCCCCGGTTATTAATGGCATTTACATAAAAACACAATACAGAGAAAGGCACAAACCCTGTGGTTACCAGGCAGGGTATTTGTTTTTCAGTTTTATTCATCTATCATCTGAGGGCCATTGATGGATTTGGGCTGCGATGTGTTCAGGGGCTGTCAGGGAAGGCGGCGATTCTTGTGTTGAAGATGTTTTGGTGGGCAGGTTTAGTGTTCACGTAGATGGTACGCTTGTAACATCATTGGCAATGCAGTCACGTAATTGTGGAAACAAATTCAAACATCTGTTTTTATAAATGCTCTATTCTTGGTACAGATTAGTTTTGAAAAGCTGTAACTCTCGTTTACTGTCACCTTTTCTTTGAAGGAACAGATTGCATTGTGTCTGTTTAAAAGTAAAAGGCTAGATGACACACTGCTGCAGTCATTTGTCACTAAAAACAAAAAAGGTCTCCAGATTTCGAACTTTTCACAAAAGAAAATCTGTACATTCTCCTTAAATCCTCTGACTCTTTGAAGTACTAAGTCATGAAATGTAACCTGTAAACCTCCAAATCACACTAAAGATTTTTTTTTTTTTTTTTGAGGCGAAGTCTCGCTCTGTTGCCCAGGCTGGAGTGCAGTGTCACTATCTCGGCTCACTGCAGCCTCCACCTCAGCCTCCCACGTAGCTGGGATTATAGGCGCCTGTCACTACACCTGGCTAATTTTTGTATTTTTAGTAGAGACGAGGTTTCACCATGTTAGGCTGGTCTTGAATTCCTGATCTCAGGTGATCCACCCGCCTCAGCCTCCCAAAGTGCTGGCATTACAGGTGTGAGCCACTGCACCTGGCCCACACAAAAGATATTTATGATCATTTCCCGAATCACTGCAAAGTATTGTAAAGCTTTGGCTATTTAAGTGTCTTGGGTTTGTTTTTGTTTGTTTGTTTGTTTGAACTGACTACAACAGGAATGCCCTGAAATTCATAAACCCCAACACGCCTAAGGTACTTAAAGTAGACTTGTGGTGAGGGCCCACTTGCACCCCCCACATCACAGGGCACCACTTCCTAAGTCAGGATGTCACGACTGCTGACATCCAAGCCAGCATGAACACCAGAGTCTGTCTATTAAATATCAGTAAAGCTGGCAGGGTACAGTGACTCATGCCAGTAGTCCCAGCACTTTGGAAGGCAGAGGCAGGAGGATCATTTGAGCCCAGGGGTTTGAGACCAGCCTGGGCAACATAGTGAGACCCGTCTCTACAAAAAAAGCCAGGTGTGGTGGTGCATACCTGTAGACCCAGCTACTTAGGAGGCTTAGGCAGGAGGATCATTTGAGCCCAGGAGTTTGAGACCAGCCTGGGCAATATATAGTGAGACCCATCTCTACAAAAAATGCCAGGTGCAGTGGTGCATGCCTATAGTCCCAGCTACTTAGGAGGCTGAGGCAGGAGGATCACACCACTGCATTCCAGCCAGGATGACAGAGTGACTGAGACCCCATCCCTATAGGAAAAAAAAATCAGAGAAACCATTTTTTTACATTTTTAAAGAAAAATACTTAGAAGTAGAATTTCTCATCACTTCTTCACTGCTGCAGGTTTTCTAGTCCACCCCACTTAGAGACCACTGGGAAGGGGTGAAGACCATTCTCTCTCTCTCTCTGTCTCTCTCTCTCTCTCTCTCTCCCCCCCCCATATACATATATACATATTTTTATTTATTTATTATTTATTTATTTATTTTTGAGATGGAGTATTGCTCTCACCAGGCTGGAGTGCAGTGGCTTGATCTCAGCTCACTGCAGCTTCTACCTCCCGGGTTCAAATGATTGTCCTGCCTCAGCCTCCTGAGTAGCTGGGACTACAGGCACACCACCATGGCTGGCTAATTTTTGTATTTTTAGTAGAGACGGGGTTTCACCATGTTGGCCAGGATGGTGTCTATCTCTTGACCTTGTGATCCACCCGCCTCAGCTTCCCAAAGTGCTGGGATTACA